GCTTGATGTATTTTACACACTAGAGGAGTAAATGTAACATTTCGCATAGTACATGGGTGCAAAATAAATTTTACCCGTCTTTATATTTGAAATTCATTTTCAAAATATTATTTTTCTAACATTATTAGACATGATACGACTTTTACAAATGAATGCGACACACCCCATAATTCAGATGTGAAAAGTGAACTTTGTCCTTAATTTTAATTAATTTTTTTTTAAACCCATGTTACTTAAAAGGACATTCCTATATACCCAACAAGAATATGATTCCACCTAAATCAGATGTCACAAAATCCCACATTAGAGAAATATATCTAATGATTCCAAAATTCCATATTACATCAAATATATTGGCAGAATGAAAACGATTGTTGATTTTTTTTTAACAAAAAATAACGCTAGCTAGTGACAAGATATAAGGTGACAAGTCAAAATTGTCATTACTACCATGCATTATTGGAAATTTTTCTTTTTTAGTAATAATTATTTCTAATGGCTCAAATCGTATTAGAAACATACATAAAAATAAGTAACGATATTTCTAATGGCTCAAATTGTATTAGAGACATACATAAAAATAAGTAACAATGAATTCTAATGGCTAAAATTGTATTAGAAACATAAATAAAAAATAAGTACTAATGATTTCTAATGGCTCAAATTGCATTAAAACAAACATTAAACAAGTAATAATGATTTCTAATGGCTCAAATTATCAATTAATAAAACTGAAATCAACTAAATTCTATTAATTTAGCGAAATGTTAATTTAATGGTATATTTTTTAACACTTTGACCTTGAGTTGGACCCAGAAAAAAAATATTATTTAAACGAGGTTATTAATTTATCGAGATTTATAATAATGATTTCTAATGGCTCTAATTGTATTAAAACTTACATTAAAAAGTAATAATGATTTCTAATGGCTCAAATTGTATTAAAACTTTCATAAAAAAAAGTTGCAAATTTAAGAGCAAAACACATGAAATTTTTATTTTTTTCTTTGTTGTGACGTGCCTAAATAATACCCCATTAGAATGTGTAATTTGGCCAAACTTTGTCTTTCATTACCATATTAATACATCACACACCACATGTTTTGTAACAAGGACATCTAGATTAAACCCAATTTATATATCTATCAAGTCTTATTATATATATGGCTGAAACAAAAAGTTTCTCAATCCTAATGTATGCGATAAAATAAAATTGAAATTATTTTTGAAAATTTCCTTCAAACATTGTTGAGGAAAATCGAGTTAGGCATGCAGATTTTGTTTGTTGGAAGAGGCGGAGGGTGTTTCTTTACTGAAAGTCGAAGAGATTGTTTGTTTTAACCGCGTAATTTTCGTTGTAGGGCTATTTAGTCATTTAGCTTATTAATGTAACGGTGTCAGTATTTTAACGTTTAATTGAAACCCTAATATGATAAGTGGTACATTTCATATATCAGGGGGAGCAGCTGTAACATGCCGTAATTTTTATGGGTGCAAACTGTATTTAACATTTTAATTTTAGATATAATCCAACTGAAAAGAGAATGTGATCTCAACCGTATCAATATTGGGTTAATGGATGAGGGGAATATTAAATAAATGTAGGCAGAGATTCCTGTGGCTAGTAGCCCTTTGAGAAAAAGAAGGGACAAAAAATTCTAAGGACAATAATATGGTAATTAAAGTTGGATTTTTTGTATTTTTTTTATTTTTATCAATAAATTAAAGTTAGATTTGAAGACAAGTAACATAGGATGGAATTTGAATAAATATAGAATCCCCAACCAATTGGGGAAGTGGAATCTTACATAGGCAATTTGGATTCCATTTAGGCTGTAATTTTCAGACATTAGTGGGATATCTACTACCCCCATTTGCTCTTTCATTGTGTGTTTGATTCCATTCTTGATTTAAAAAAAAAAAAGTTAAATTGAAAAAAAAAGTTAAATTGAGAAAAAGAAATGGGAAATATTTTTAAATGATTGCATATAAAATTAATTCGATAATTGTTTAGCTAAACTTATCTTAAACAACTAATAAATTCTTACATATTATAAGTTGTTTTAAGAGTAGATAAGTTGTTATTTTTTATTTTTAGAAATAATTTTTAAATTGTTTGAATAATTAGCTTATGAACTATTTTTAGTTATTATAAAATCTTAAATAAAAAGGTGGGGGTAAATGTATTTTTAGAAAAAATCTTAAAAGTTTTCCAATTACTTAATTTTTTAATTTGTAATAATTTCTTTTAATATTCCAAACACTTCGAAAAAAGCTTATGAGCTCTTAAACATCTTATAAACTCTCTTCAACAGCTTATAAGTTTAGCCAAACACCATCTTAAATTCAGTTTACTATAGGTTTCAACATCTAATTTGTTACGTTTTCACAATAAATATATACGGTAAATTACAAGCACCCTTGAGGTATGATAAAATTACGAAAAATCCTCTCTTGTTTGTAGAATTACATCTACCCCTCAACGATGAATCTTCTTACACCTCCACCCTTATGATGTCATATTCAACATAATCATCTAGATTTCGTGGAATGTAAATCTAGTTTGTATTCGTTTTGTGTAAAAATACAGTTTTTGATGCACCACAATCACAAGCCAGGAAACACATCTTATGATCATCTTTCTTTAAAATGTGGAGCTCGAATGGGATAAAACGGGTACAAAAGTGATAATATTCCATATAATCAAGAAGATTCCACTAATTTTGAAACCGGAAGGGTGGACGTGTAAGAAGATTTATAGTTGAGGGGGTGTGGTTGTAATTACTCAAACATGAGGGGGGTTTCGTAATTTTATCATACTTCAGGGGTGGTTGTAATTTACCCTAAATATATATAACATTAGTATTTAGTAGACTTTACGTACATAGCCCAACGAATTTTTAATTATTAATTATTACTCCATTTATAAATAAAAGTTCAATAATTATGGAACCAATTAGCCTAATGGTGATTGCATTTTGGGGACAAAATTAAACTTTGGTCGAAGGTGTCCTCTAATTAGCCATTTTAATTGAAAATTAAAATTAAATTAAAGGGGTATGTCATACGTTTGAAAGTGACGCAACATAATTAAAAATTAAAAGATCTAAAGCTTAATTGGTGTAACCTCCTACTCTGATTCGCACCATCTTTAATTAGTTAATTATTTTTAAATACACATCAATGCTATCTTTATCTTTATGTAATCAACTATGAACAAATAATTAACTTAAGATCAATTATTATATTTCTAATTCATTGACTTCAATTATACAAGATTAAATAGTTTATATATGATCCATACGTACAATATTATATGAGATTAGTGTACCGGACGATCTCTAATTGTCATCGTTATAATATAAATAGTTCTAATATAAATAAGCTATTCTTTAATTAGCCATTTATTTTCTCTTATCTATATAGATTTATATTTAAATAATGATCTGCCTGGTTTGATCAACAATAGTCAATATTAAAATTATTTTCTGGTCAATGTCAACACTACAAGAAAAGTGAGATTTAACAACTTGTAAATAACAACACACGGCTTAAACATGTTGTCATATTATATATTTCACAACATGCTTTTAATGTATGTTGTCTATAATATCAGCAAAATATATTTCACAACATGCTTATATTAAACGTTGTAAAAACGTCATACTACAACAAGCGCGAGCGTATTGTAGAAATATTTACATATAACAAGAAACAAGTGTACCTTGTAATATAAAAAGGCATACTACAAGATGCTTCTGCATGTTGTAGTCTTCTAAAAATATAACAAGTCACATAAAACCTCTGTAAAAAAAATTAATTATAAAAATATATGTCACAACATCCTTGTGCTTCTTGTAGAAATTTAGAATATCCATAAGTATGTCTCTAGGTGGAAGTTGAATACACCTTATCGACACTTTCAGGAAAAAAAAAATCCAAAGTGGAAACTCCAATTTTGTTCATAATTTTTTTTTTTTGAAACTGGAACAAATTTTTTTATTAAGATGTTAGTCACTTATAATATAAAATACATAATAATATTAAAAGTATAATCATAATTTCCAAAAAAAGAAAAAAAAAAAAAAAAAAGAGTCTCGAAAGTATATTTGGTAATTGAAATCAGGATAGAAATAAATCAAATATAATGTGTATTCCAATTTCTTTCCAAAATAATCGAAAAAATAGAATTCAAAATTTTCAGAATTTGGAATGAAAATATTGTTCTAAAATCTAAATATTCGGATGTGAATCGACAAAATTTAACTACATAAAAAATTTAAAACTATAATTAAAATATATATTTGATGCATTATTTATATTTAAATGTTAAATAAAATGTAGAAATATGTTAAATGTAAGTATATATTAAAATAGGTCGTGGCTTTTATTCTATTCCACTTTTTCAACTGCACATTTCATTACTTCCTCTTTACAGGATTAAGGATTAGGGATTTGGGGTTTGGGATTTTATTACTCTTCCATAATTCAACAGCGGTTAAAATTTTGTAGTCCAAAGCCTGCGAGTTTCGACGGTGGATGCGAAGGAATTGACGAGTACGGGTGCAGCCCCAACAATTTTAAGGTATTCTTTTACCCTTTTGGCGAGCGAGGGTGGGCATTTAGTTTTATGGTGAATCGATTGAAATTTTTGAACCCGCATAACTTAGAACTTGTAGGTTTTATCCATCGACGGTGAGAGTCTCATTAATTCCTCTCAAACCAAGTTTTGTTTCGCATTCCCCCCATTTTTCTTAATTAAAGTTTCTGTTTTTTTATTTTTTGTTTTTAGGCTTCTCGATGGTTCAGGAAAAGAATAATTCAACCTTGGTAATTAAAATGGGTCTGATTCATTTAGTGATTAGATGCGAATGATTGTGGTTAATTGTAAAATATTAGTTATATTATATTATCTAGTTGAAATGCTTTAATTGTTCCTTAGAGGTTGTTTAAGTGAATATGAGTTATTATGTTTCACTTCCTGTGAATTAAAATCTTATGAAAATAGATTCTTTTATTATTATAATACTAGAAATTGCATTGAATCTCGAATTTTTTTTCTAAATTTGTTAACTTGAGTGAAATATGTTCATTTATTTTACATTTAGTATTCCTTGTTTAATTAGTTGGATTTTCCAGGTATTAAAAATGGAGAGATGCTAAGGGGATTGCTCACTGGTTACAAACTAAGTTTTGTAAAACTAAGTTCATTGGGATTTCAATTGCATTGATGTTCATTAGTTGCAATCGATTAATCAGGAAATGAAGCTTTAGATTCTCTGGTAATTATTAGTTTGATTTCTTGGCATGTGATAAGTGTGACTTTTAATGTCGTTCAAACAATGATAAGTATTTTATTGAATATCGTCCTGTTTTTTTTAGTTTTTTTTGCTGCTATCCTGCAATTATATTTATTAGAAAATTTTCATCTTATTTCGGGGTTAATTTTTTGACATGGCCAAATAATTTGATAACTATAGAAATAGCTCTAGAATCATGAATGAGCCTCTTATGTTTGCACCACATGAAAGAGCATGGTTTTGAAAGCACCAGAATACTTGCTGCAGGATATTTTATGTACGCAAATGGAAAGGCAACGGGGAAACTGTCGAGATGTCCTGATTTTGGTGCACAACAAAAGACACTGTGTATGATACTGTGAAACCGGTATGCATCTTTACAATAAATAGTTTAAACATGAAATTCAAATACGCATTTTACTATTATTAAACTCTAATTGCGATATCATTTTAATGCTCTATGCTTTCATTCGCAAAACTTTTGCTAGAATTATGTATGACAATATTATTTTTAATGCAGATGACAACACAATGTTGGAAATCTCGTAGTTGTTAAACCTGGAGAGCGGAAGTCGATTGTTGGAATTATCACATACAGAGGTCTATTTGATTATCACAACATTTCATATCTAAATGATGAGTATTGTTGGGCTCCTTAGAGTTTGTTTGATAATAGAGGAATTACTTTTGTTATTTGGCCTACTCATGATACGTGCTGGATGATTTTGTATTGTAAATAATTTGATATAATATTGAAATGTATTGAAAATCCAATTTCTCTGTATTTTGATTATGAATGATTTTTAATTTTTTTTTAATTTTTTTGGTACTATACTACAAGCTGCAGATGCATGTTGTTAAAATTCTATCACAAGAAGCCATAGTATGTGGTCATAAATATTCTACAAGGTGCATATGATTGTTGCAAATACCATAATACAAGATAATATGCGCCTCGTTGTAATACAAACTACAACGTTCGTCACAACGTGAAATGCATGTTGTTAAAAAACAAGGGTTTTAACAACATGTTGGTCTACAACAGGCGTGCGCGTGTTGTCTATATATTTTAACAACACACAGGGCACGTTGTCAAAAGGTCTTTTTCTTGTAGTGCAAACTTATTATTTAACTGAATTATTTTCTTCACTAGTCTATTACGTAGTTAAATTTATACAAAAAACTATTATTTAATTCCTTCACTGATATTGTATTGAGGTTTGGTTATTTTAATTTTATTAAATTTGTTCTCTTTATTTCTGTACATGTATCTTTTTACTTATTTTCAAGTCTATAATCATGATAAGGTGTAATTTTTTTTTAAAGAGAAAAATATTAAATATGTGTTATGTTAATAACATCCCTAACAATTTGGTAGTAAACATTAAAATTACGATTGATGGCGTAATAACTGCACCCTCTTCAAGCCCAACTCCCTCGAACACCGGAAACTACACTTATCGCAGGTTTTTGGGTCGACAGTGGTGAATCAAATGGTGGAACAATGATAAAAGAGATAGAACTTGGGAGAAAGTATCAAAGGGTATTGTATTACTGTATATGTGAACGTAACCCTAATGGGGGTTTTACACTTTCTTTTATAGAAAAACTGTTTATGGGTCTTTTCTTATTTACAATCGCTATTTATGTGTATGATTATGATTTCAATCGGTGATCTCAATTTACAATCTTTACTTATCTATTTATGGACGTTATCTCTGGATCTCCCCCTCCAACGGTTACGAGATGATCAGTTTGTTGTCTGTCGCGTCTTCTTTTCTCATTCATGAGTGCATTGGGCGAACTCTCAAAAGATGACCTCTCTTAGGCGAGCTCTTGACCTACTTCAGCGAACATACTTCATGGAACTAACCTCTTGGCCTATCTTGATCTTTCAGATCCATTAGGCCTTCGGCTCACTATGTCGAGAAGGTGGGGTTATAGCCAAGTTGCCGAATATACCCCCATCAACAATACTTCCTCCGTCCCTTATTACATGTCTTTTTTTGTGGTTACACGTATATTAAGATAGTTAATAAATATGCATAAATTATGCCAATAATAACATAGTAAATACTAAAATAGCCTTCTCATTAATTTTTTTAGTTAATAATTAACAGCGATAAGGGCTAAAATTGATTAAAAATGCAAGTAACGCCTTATTAGAACTTGAAAATACAAATAATTTAGGACAAAAAAAATCCCAAAAAGACATCTAACAAGGGAAGGGAGTAGGGGTGTGCACGGGTCGGTACGGTTCGGGTTTTGCAATAAACCAAACACGTACCGATAATATCGGTTTTTCATATTTTAAAACCGTGTATGTCGGTTTTTTTTCGGTTCGGTACGAATCGGTTTTTCGGTTTTCGGTAAACGGTATCGGTATCAATTCGGTTTATTTTCGATTTCGGTTTCATTATCGGTTCGAATCGGTTCGGTATAAAACCGATGTTTGATTAACGATGAATTTGGACTTCTATCACATTTGTTTGAGAAAATTAACAAGTAACAATCCAAAATTAACTAATAAAATAAATTTACTGCCATTAGAAAAATAAAAATAAAAATATAACCCTACTGCCATAAAAAAAATAATGAGATTACAACGAATAAACTTAAATGTCATTAATTTCATCTTAAAAAAAATAAACCTGTTGCCCCATCAAAGAAGTCCAACTACATCAAAAGATTAAGTATCTGAGTGTAGCCACATTGATTACCAAAAAAACTTACCGATTTTTATTATCTATCAAACCACGTCGTTTTGTATTCCCAAATCGGTTCGGTTCGGTAAATCGGTTCGGCAAATTTTTTTTTCTCCATACACATACCGATTTTTTCGGTTTTTCAAAAAATATTTACCGTGTATGCGGTTTTAAGTCGGGATGGTGTATATCGGCTCGGTTTTTTCGGTTTTCGGTTCGGTTTTTCGGTTTCTCGGTTTTTATGCTCACCCCTAGAAGGGAGTATATTTTTAGAAGATCGTGCAATCCTAGTGGCTAATTAAGACGTTGATGATGTCATAAAATAATTAAGAAATGAATGAGTGGAGAAGATGACGCTATCGTTGTGGTAGATCTTGTGGATATAGTGGTGATGACCTGTAAATCCATTTGATTTACAATTGTATATAATTATACATGGGTAAATTACAAAGAGCCCCATGAGGTATGGTCAAATTACAAAACCCCCCTCTTGTTTGGATAATTACATTTACCCCCCTCATCTATGATTTTTTCTTACACCTCCACCCTTATGGTGCCAAATTCAACATAATCATCTAGATTCCATGGAATGTGCTCTAGTTTGTAATCATTTTGTGTAAAAATACAATTTCCGATGAACCACAAACTGATATATACAAGCTAAAAAACACATATTATGATCATCTTGCTTCATAATATAGAGTTCGAATGGGATAAAACGGGTACAAAAGTGATAATATTCCATATAATCTCGAAAATTCCACTAAATTTGAGGAGTTGATGGGGTGGTTGTAATTATCCAAACAAGAGGGGTGTTTTTGTAATTTGACCATACCTCAGGGGGTATTTGTAATTTACCCAATTATAAATATATCAAATATTTAATCTAGACCTCGCGATATTTAATTTTTCAGTTTTATTAGGGTTTTATTGTAAAATTAGCAATCTCTCGATAAGTTTATGACTTTATGTTATGCCAAATAACAAACATTAATTTTTTTTAAATCGGTCCAAAACTTATTAGACTAGCAAATACCAAATAAAACTCAAATATAAATAACATTTTTGCTCAATAAATGAGGATTAATATGATATTACATTTGCTGTCTTAATGGATACGGTTAGTGTATACATGAGAAGAAAAAAAAAATTGGGTTCTCAAAAGGTGATATAATTATTACAATCAATATTTTTTTGTAAAACGAGCCAAATTTGGTTGTTTTGGCGAGTTCGAGCTTGAGCTCGAGTTGTTTGAGTATTTATTTTCGCACTCCAGCTTGAGTCATTTTGTGTCTTTTTATTTTTTTTTATTTTCTATTTTAATTCAGCTTGAGCTTGAGCTCGAAAAATTTGCATTCGAGCTTTTATCGAGTAAGCTCGCTAAACCGACGAGTCGACTCAGCTCATTTGCACCCATAATTTATCATTTTTCTCCTCTAAATTAAAATTGCATGAAAAGTATAAATAAAAAGTATTGATTTCTAACCGACCATGAATATTGTATACACTTAAATTTAATTTTATTAGTTGGACTTTGATTAAGTATTTTTTTCATTATTATTTTATAAAAAAGAACCCACAACAAAATTGCACCGAGTAAACTTCTTCATAAACTCTCGTACAATAACTTGTAACCATACGCAAGATGTGAACTACACTAGCAGGTGGACTCAAATCCACTCTCAATTTGTAAATATTCTCCTATATTATACCTATATATCTATTAAGCCAACGCATTTTTTTTTTTATTAATTAGCCTAGTTAAAATCAAAATTAATGCAAAAGAAGCCCCAAATATTATCAATTAGCTCACTCAAAATTCAAATTAATGCAAAAAACACAATTTTTCCCCCTATTTTCTGATTTTGTCACAAAAGAAGTCTTAAAATTTTTTCAAGGCCGCTGCCCCCGTACCTTCGAAAATTTAAGCCCACCCTATACAAAATTCCTGAACTCACCACTATACACTAAGCATAAATTATGTGTGAAGAATTCAACATAGATATACGTTTGAGAAATTCAACTTAGAGCGTTGACAAGACTTTAATTATGTCTTTATTTCCAATGTGTAAATAATTTGAATATTGCTCCCCAAAAAAAAAGAAAAAATACTCACCGGCTATTAATAACTAATCGTACAAATTACTAGTATTGTCTTACTTAGGAGCTACTCAATGGCTTTAATAAATAAATTGTATTGTAAGACCAAATAAAAAATAATATATGCTTGACATTATATTTAACCTTGCCCCTCAACTAAGTGAAAAGTTGTAATAAGTGTGACAGCAAGTCTTATTGGGTACATAAAGCCAATTAACAAGGCTTTTATCTTTAATCTGCCTGTTTATTTTACGTTTTGGTCGCTATCTATTGTAACATATGTGAACATTGTATATATATATATTATATGATGACATGATTGATACCTAATTATATACCAGAACCTCGATAAAAAAATAATCTTGTTTAAATAATTTTTTTTTTCTCAATCTCAACTTGATGAAAATGTATTAAATTATTAATAATTTAATATTTCACTAAATTAATAGAGTTTTGCTAGTTCGAAATGTATTAGTAATCTGTAGATGTTGGATTGAAAAAAAAAAATCAAATATGTATAATCTCATTAATGTATATTAAATATAAAAACCAATCAAAATTAGTGGTGACCTAATAATGATAAATATTAATGGTTGGACGGTAAGCATTGAATTATGATTAATGAGCATAACGTTTAAAGACTATTAGGGTTTTTTTTTATTTTTATTTTTTCAATAATTTCCATAAATAACAAATTAGGCAAATGAAAAATAATCCTAATCGTCCATCGAAGAAAAATTGAGGGTTCGCATTTCAAAGGAAAAATGTTTGTGGTATAGAATGCAACCTTATAAATTATAGGGTAAATTACAAACACCCCCCTGTGGTATGCTCAAATTACAGTTACACCCCTATTGTATTGGATAATTACAACCACCCCCTCAACTCCTCGAATTTAGTAGGATTCTTCGAGATTATATGGAATATTATCACTTGTGTACCCGTTTTATCCCATTCAAACTCTACATTATGAAGCAAGTTGATCATAATATGTGATTTTTAGCTTGTATATATTAGTTTGTGGTGCATTGGAAACTGTATTTTTACACAAAACGAGTACAAATTAGAGCACATTCCACGGAATCTAGATGATTATGTTGAATTTGGCACAATAAGGGTGGAGGTGTAAGAAAAAATCATAGTTGAGGGGGTAGATGTAATTATCCAAATAAGAGGGGGATTTTTGTAATTTGACCATACCTCAGGGGGGTGTTTGTAATTTACCCTAAATTATAAGCAATTCACCTTATGAAGTTGAGATTTGAGGACCAAAATGTAATTATCAAGTACTATCTATAGCCACAAAATATGATGCCCAAATTTTATAAAGTTGAGATTTGAGGACCAAAATGTAATTATCAACTAGCTATAGCCACAAACTATGATGCCCAAATTTCATTGATTCCTAGACGAATCTATTATGAATAAAGAAACAACATTCGTCACATGTTTTTAGGTTAATTTCCTTCCCATCTGCAGACCAGATTCTTAAGAATAAAGTGACATTGGTTCTTTTTTTTTATGTGATGATAATTAAAGTTATATATATATATATTGTTAAGGGCACCTTGATTTAGAGGGTTGTGCGCAGATTCGAGTTCTAGCAGCACTTACCCGCGTCCCATCAAACAACGATTCTTGATTTAAAGGAATTAAATTTGTGGATTATTAATGGGTTCATGATAGGCGGGTCCATGGCGGCTTCGTAAACCCAACTTTTACAGTTCGAAACTCATTATAATTTTGTTTTTGTTTTAATAATTTATAAATTTTATGCGAAACTATCTAAAAATTAATATGAAGACCAAGCATAAAATCTTAAATTTAAATCAACTTGAATAACACATTCATGAGAAATGTCAAGAGCAAATCAAAATTAATACGTTTTAACCTTAAATTCATTAAAAAGAGTAACTAAATTCAAAGTTTTATAAGACAATATTATAAATAAAATAAATGACTATAGACAAAACGAGACGAAATCGTAGTTATAGATATCAGTTTTGACATGTTAGAGATAATTTATTAATGTATTATATATTATTTATTCATTATGCTACATAATTTAAACAAAACAGCGTCATCTTGTATAGCAGAGTTGGACGGGTTTCTCGCGTATTAAAAAAAATATTGAAATTGTCTTGGTCCTAATGGGACAAGTTTTACCAGATCGGACGGATTGATGGATCCGACATGCTTACACCTAACTTTCTTCGAAATCATCTTTAGTTAGATGTTAATAAAGCAAAAATTCGTCGTGGAAATATACCCTTGTGTAGATACTTTGAAATTATGTAAATATAGCTATTTTTAGAAAATAATTCACGAAATGTATCTTATATATAAAAGAAAGAAACGCTAGGGCAACCCTAATGGCATTTCTCAAATTATTTATTTTAATATTTTTCTTGTACTAATTTTCTAACTGTATTTTTGAACAATTATCAAAATCGACACTGAAAATTTGTTAAATCTTATCTTATTTATTTGGATTATAAATTTTACTACGTAAAAAAAACTAATGTTATATAAAATATGAATCGTACTAATTTGTTAAATTTACTATGTTAGTTATTTATTTTATCATGTATTACATTGATTTTTTTCTTTCACTTTTAAAATACGATCCCGTGCATCGCACGGGGAAAAAATGCTAGTTTATAAATAAGCAAAAAAACTAATTAATCGCCAAAAAATTATTATATATTTTCAAAAGTTTTTTCAAACACCACGTTAATCATGTGGCTCACAACACATCCATCTTTTGGGATTTATGAGTTACGTGGGTTCAATTATTAAGTAAATTAATATAATCCCACTCCACCAACCTAATTCATTGTATGATTTTTAACAAATGCGTCACGGAAATGCAATAATATTTTTTCTTTTTCTTTTATATATATATATATATATTTTTATTTTTGCTAATTGGTTTAAATATGTCAAGAAAAAAAAAAAAAAAAAAAAAAAAAACAATTTCCCTTTTCGACGGTATGGATAAATTAAAGTTAAACAAAAAGTTGTTTGATGGGCTTACAAGTTACAAGAATGCTATTTTGCAATGGTTTTGAGTGATGATATATTTATTAGGTTTATGGCAAAAGATGACCACTTATTAAAGTTGGTTTGACCAGATTTGGAAGCTAAGCCAATGAAAACAGGGAACTAATTGAATTGACCACTAGTTGTAGCCAAAACAATTAGACATAAGATAGTGAACACTCAATTGAGTGTCGTGCTATTTCTACCTTCAAATTCTCTTGTTACACCATTTTATTTTGAATTCTTAAAATCATTATATAAATACCCTTAATTATTTCTAAATAACGTAACAGTGGTGGTTAAATCATCAAATTTCGACTGCCGAAAAGAAAGTAATTACTCCGAGAAGCACCATTGTCGGTCGGAAACATATGGGGGCGGAGATTCGGATTTAAGAGTGGAAGAGGTGGGTTGACTAGGGATTAAAATTAGTTCTATAAGGGCAACTTAGATACTTCAAATGGCCAGGGGTATGTCAAATTATATATAAATAAATAATAAGATGGTGAGGGACACCGAAAAGTGCAATCAGCTTGATAGTTACTTCAATATATTTCTGTAACGAGAAAATATTATTTTTTTAAGGATGATAATTTAGAAAATTTTATTGTAATGATTAGACACAAATTCTGATTATCATATAGAGTGAGAACCTTAATATTATCACTAACAATTTTTTTATTTTTTTATTTTGATTCTTTATATTTTGATTTTGGACTAATTTCGACCCTTCATAAATTAGCAAGGGTAAAAGCGTCCATTCTTGAGTCCCATTTCTTTTCCTTTCTTGTTGATAAGTTCAGTAGGCCCAAATGATGTTAAATGCAGACTGATGGGCCTTTGCAGGATCCACCTCAATTAGGCCTTCATCGATCAGCTAATTAAGTAATTAATAAGATTAATTATTATCTAAATTTTTAATTATTATCTCAACTCTAGTTTTCTTTGTAAAAGTTAATGTTGTCGCCAAGAAAACATGTTAAGCCAGCCGCCTAATCATTTTGTTTTTGTCATGAGAGATTATAAAGCAGAGGTGACACATCAGCAATTGAAAACATTTAAGTACCATAAACGTTGTAGTTAACTATCGAAATAATCGAAATTGAAATATATATAATCGGAAATTGAAATATATATCGGATCGGCAAAATACATTGAACCAAAGCTATTGCCTAGGTAAATAGTCGTCTTCTTACGAGTGCTTGGCTAGTTTAGTGGTTTTTACATATATATATCTACATAGCTACAGTTAAACCTACGGAAAACGAAAGAGATATATATCATATAATCGCCGGAGAGACACATATACATCGTCATATTAAGGTAATCACGATTTTGTTAAGGTAGTCAGAAACGGGACCGATCAATGATGTCATTCATTTCCTGACTTTCTTCAGTCTCTTGGCCGCTTTCACAAACCCCGTTATCACTTGCAACTCATCCATTTGCTACCAAAAAAAAAAAAAAAAAAACCCCAATTTAATTCAATAAAGGGATGCGGAAAAATTCGAAGAAATACGAAAAAAAAAAAAAGTAAATTTAAAGATTACTTGTGACATGAAATGCCTTTGAACAACATCAATGATTTGCTCTTTGGTAGGGTTATGAATCGCGTCCACCTAAACGACAATGATTAAGCATATTTAAATAAATATAAAATTAAAAACATTTTTCTTTCGTCGTATAATAATAAAATCAACCAACACTCACGAGATTGAAGTGCCGCAAATATCTCCATAAAGCACCCATCTCAAGTTTGCTGAGGTCAACTTTCTGCGCGTGAGGTGGTTCTTTAAGTAAGTTTACAAGGTAATTAAAGATTAAAACTTTCTGCATTTTAGTTCCTATGAATAAAGACATGAATATTTTTCTCACCGGAGATCCCCTTGTAGTAGAAACAGAATCTTTAGACAGCGAGTCAGGCGAGAGAGACCGAGTTAGCGTCTTGTGAAACGACCCAAATGACCTTTGTGTACGATGCCTTGATCTATACGACTTTTGAGTATCATCCGATGCTGAAAAAAGACATGAACACACTAAATAAATTAGATTAAAATGGTGGGCCAAAAGAAAAAAAGGAAAAAATAAGGGCAAATTACAGCCAACCCCCTAAGGTAAGGCCAAATTACAAAAACCCCTCTCATGTTTCGATAATTACAACCACCACTCAACTATGTATTTGTCTTACACGTCCACCCTTACGGTGTCAAATTTACCTACTAAGCAAGGGGGCTTTTCGTAAGAAAATACACAATTGAGAGGGGTGGTTGTAATTACCCAAACAAGATTGGGTTTTTTCGTAATTTGCCCAATAAAGGAATGGATACCAAAAGCTTGTCTAAAGGGTTGGAAAATGAATACAGAGAATCCTATGTAACAACCTCCACAAACTTCACCATATTGATAAAATTGAGAAAACTAGAATCTATGTTAAAAGTAAAGACCGAAAATTATCTTTAAGAAAAAAATGAAAACCGATAAACGGAAATAGAACCATTGTGCTATAGTTTGTTAAATATCTTGTTTGGCTATGGCAAATTAAGAAGCAGCAATTATGAATAAATACAAAAAGATAAAACTCGAACTAACCCATATCCGATACATTCCACTGCGTGTGTTCGAATTCAAGGTCGTCGTCTTCTTCGTTTCCTGTAGGAGCTTCGATCACACTTAAAGCATTCCGTTGTAGCTTTACCTCAATCCCATTCGTAAGAACCTGTAATTTTTACTTTTTTAGTCAATATTAATAAACCGTAATTCGAGAGGAAATTGCGTTAAAAGACTCATATTCATCTGATTACGCCGGTAAAAACGTAGCAATTACAGTCGTTTTTCGCCAAATAAAATTCCGTTTACCGTACAACAGAAGAGTAACACCAAATTTATGTTAAATTGAAATCTAGTTATACATGCATGAATTATTTATTTATTATTTATAATTTATAAAACAACAAATATGAATTTCCGGGAGAAAGGGATAAAATATACATATACCCTTCTCAGTCTCACCGACAATGAATCAAATATTACAAAAAAATAACAATTAATAAAATAATGCAGAGAAAAATAATAATGAAAAATTGTGAAATTGGTGTACCAGCCAGTGCCAACCGCCAAGGCCGACGGCTTTTTTGACGACGCCGTGAAGGCCGACGAGGACCGACTTAGTGCGGTTGTTTCCGGTGACCACCACCTTGGTGTGGCGGGGAAGCACGGAGAGCTCCTCTTCGCTGCTGTCGCCGCAGCTCTGCAACTGAGACGAGTGCGTGGAGAATCCGCCATTGCTCTCCGTTGTAGCTACTTCCAGCATTTTCGAGAATTTTGTTTGCTCAAAACCCTATCGATTTTAACTGAATCATGGAGATTTGGGGTGTGAAATTGGGTTCGATTGAGAGATCGCGGGTTCAGGAATCCAGAAATCGAACGTTTTGGATGAATGGTGATGAAAATTGGGGCGAAATTTTGAATTTTTTTTTTTTTTTTTCTATTTCAGAGACACAAAACACAGCAGCTGTGTGTGTGTGTGTTTGTGTGAGAGAGAGAGAGAGAGAGAGAGAGAGAGGGAGAGAGAAGATGACAGTGACTCTGTGTGTGTGTTTTGTGTGTTTTCTCTTACTCTGTTTTTTTTTGCAACTTTAATTATTGAGGGAGAAAGGTGTGGATCCCAAAGAGAAGAAACTGACAAATGACAGACTGCCACGTGGAGGAGAGGGCTCGTCAGTCATGGAGTATATTTGGCTTGCGTTGCGGCATGATGCAAATACCACTAGCGGGTGGGTTTACAGGGGGGTTGACGGTTTGACTTGGTTCCGTGCTTCGTTAAATGACGTAAATACCCCTTGGTCTTTTTTTTTTTTTTTTAATTCATCATGTATTCATTCCCTCGTATCACCAATTGTGCAAGACACGAAATAATGTCAATTAAACTATATTTATATGATGAGAGGCAAAATATTATATTCAAATTATTTTAAATAAGGGGTTAAAGTTGGAACGGAATTTCTAATTTTCTGTTGGTTCTAATTCGAAAAGATAGATTTTGGAACAATTTTTTCATTCTGATTTGCAAAATTCTGATTTTCGATATTTTACAATTTCTTTTATAGAATTGAAATTATATAAAAAATATTTTAAATTTACGATTTTCTATTCAATTTAATTCAAAACATTCCGATTTTTTCCCAAAATATACACCAGTAATATATATTATATTTTATTTATCTATTTTAGTATAAAATAAATTAAATATTCAATTTTATTTTTACCTTATGGCTATGTCGTTGTCAAAAGTCTTTCCTTTGCTACTTCTCACGTAAAAAAAATAATAAAAATAAAATAATAAAAATAAAAATAAATAAAAGGTTTCTTTCTTGTGGCTTAATCATGTTGTGGGTTTAAAATTTTGTGGCATTAAAAATAGGTGTCTAGTGCAATTGGAAGATTGTAGTTATTTTTAAAATATTATAATTTCTCATTTTAATAGTTTTAGTTCTACAATTTAATCAAAGTGCGTGTTCTTATTTTTTTTAATGTACGAAAGTTTCTAATTTTAGAAAAAATGTTAAAACTTTCGTGATTTCTGAAATTCCAAAATTTCCATAAGTCATGAAATTGGATTGAATTCCTAGAATTCGAAAATATTGTGATTGAAATTTAAATTAGTTTTGTACTTTCAATAATATTTAAAAAAAAATCCGAAAAAAGTTAATTTCGATGCATTCCATCAGTCTTTTCAAGTGCAAGAATTTAATGACACTATCAAATGAATTTTGAGATACATGAATAAATAAATAAATGTCATGAATTTAATGAATTAGAGGAACATAAAAGAAAATCAAAGGGTGTTTTAGTAAAATAAACAAACACGCTTATTTTAAGGTAAAGAGGGCTACTTACAAAAATCGTATCGGAAAGTCACCTGCCGTCGGTGTTGTCCTATCCGACATTGATTTACGCGTCGTGGGCCCCACAAAAATATACGTACAAATTCAGTGTATGCATATATATATATTTTATGTATTTACTTTTTCTGCCCCTCAACTTTTTATTCCCATGCCTATGCACTGTATATTATCGAAAAAAACAAAAAAAAAACCCAAAACAAATATTAATCGTGTAAGATTTTCCCTCCATAGGGAGGAAAAGGGAAAAACAATTTCCCGCCACAAAAGGAGCATCGTGCGCCGTTGATCTACGGCGTTCTGATCTTGAGCCGTTGGATTATTTCGGTGGTCTCTATCTGGGGCGTTGAACTTGGATATGGGGAAAGTGAGGATAGAAAAAAAGACATGCATGTTCGCGTCACATGGGCAATGATCACAATGTTGACAATTATTTATTTTTGGGTAAATTACAAACACCCCCCTTAGGTATGGTCAAATTACAAAACCCCCCTCTTGTTTGGATAATTATATCTACCCCCCTCAACTATGATTTTTTCTTAGACCTCCACCTTTATGGTGCCAAATTTAACATAGTCATCTAGATTCCGTGAAATGTGATCTAGTTTGTACTCTTTTTGTGTAAAAAATACAGTTTCCGATGCACCACAACCTGATATATACAAGCTAAAAATCACATATTATGATCATCTTGCTTCATAATGTAGAGTTCGAATGGGATAAAACGGGTACAAAAGTGATAATATTCCATATAATCTCGAAGATTCCACTAAATTCGATGAGTTGAGGGGGGTGGTTGTAATTATTCAAACAAGAGGGGTGTTTTTGTAATTTGATCATACCTCAGGGGGTGTTTGTAATTTACCCTTTATTTTTCCTTTTTAAATATTATTTTTTGTTAAAATTTCCACAAAACCCATTAATTCAAAATAATATTTGCCTACTTAATTTTTTTTTTGTCGAATTTGTTCTTAAAATACTAATGATTAATTTATATATGAAGCGTATACGTAAAAAAATATATCTTTTGTAAAATGTGACACATACTATTAGGGCGTGAATATGGGTGTAAATGAGCTGAGCCGGCTTATGAATTCGACTATCTTGCTAGACAAAAGGTTGAATTCAAACTCGATCCCATCTTTAGCTGTTTATACACTCACTCCCTAATATCTATAAATCCTCGAAGGAGAATCAAAATGAGTGAATAGAGAGAAAGGAAAGAGCTTGAATATGGAAAAAAGAAGAGTCGTGATTAAAACCTTAAAATCAACGGATGCGATCAAATTCTAGATCCTTACATACTCGTCCCGTAGATTGAATTCAAACCAAGCCCAAACAAACTGATACAGCGGGCAATATTGAAAAATAGGCTTCGGCCCATCAATTCATTCGGGCCAAAACTTTCACAATGTACCTTACATAAGTTTCGGTGCATCCTAGGATTAATATACCCACAAAAGCCCAAGAAATTGGTATTAATAATGTTCTTAAGAAGCCGAAAGCCCACAAAATCCAATAATGTTATCTTTGTGAAAACCCTTTTCTTTATGTACTTATGTTTGGGTTTTGTTAGATGTACAACTAACCCTTGCAATGGCTTCCTAATTTTGAAAGCTTAATATTATGAGTTCTTTTTTTTCTTCCCTTTTCGAAAAAAAAAAAAGAAAAAAGAAAAGGTAAACTATGGCCACCCCCGAGCTAAGGTCAAATTACAAAAAAAACTCCTCAATCCTCATGTTTTGATAATTACAACCACCTCCTTAACTATGAATCTTTTTACACGTCCACCTTTACAATGTCAAATTTAGTGGAATCTTCCTCATTTTTTACTCGTTTTACACTTGTTCGAGCTCCACATTTTGAAACAAAATGAATCATAAGATGTGTCTCTTAATTTGTAAATATCATATTGTGGTGCACAAAACGAGTACAAACTAGAGAACATTCCACGTAATTTAGAAGATCATGTTGAATTTGACACTATAAGAGTAGACGTGTAAGAAGATTCATAGTTAGAGATAATTGTAATTATCCAAATATGAGGGGGTTTCGCAATCTGACCTTACTTGAGGGGTGGTGTCGTAATTCCCCCTCTCAAGGAAAACCCAAAAGAAAACCAAACACTCATGTTATCTTTGTGTGCTTATAAACACCACACTCAATGCATTTGTGTCAAGTA